CGTAATCATGCGAGAAAAAAACGATAAAAAGCTTGTAGCACCGCAATCATTAAGTCGTATTACGCTTCAGTTGATAAGCAAAGAACTAGCTAGATCTGTGTCCCCATTAAATATATTTGGCACCGTGGTTTCATTCAGATCAATTTTTATTATTCAGGCTGAATATTTATATTCCGAACGTTTTGTCCTACCACCTATGAAGCACGCTCCACCTTCATCCAGTCCATACTGTCTGGCTGGTTGGTCTCCAGATGTACTCATCACGTCTAAAACAGAGTCAGTGTGGTAGAACTAACTTTTAACTGAGGTGTTTCAAAATGTTTTGGACTTCACCACGCATTGGAGGCCATGGTACAATCTCTGAAGTCACGTCAGATGAATCTCTTTGGCAGGATCACGACAACCATGAACTGCCCACCAATCTTAAGCCTTGTAAAGAATGCAGTCCACTTACGCACTGCTAGTTGCGAAGAGAATCAAGTCTCAGCTGACAGAATTCGTAGCAGGTTACGTCTAAACAGGCATCAATCGGTTTTCTAGCATTGATCTATCACAATTCGAGAGAACGTTTTTGATATGGTAGCTCTAAGCGACTGGACATGTTTTCGATCGATCAGATCTTTGACTAGAAATTCCGGATTATTAGAGAGCAGGATCTTATCTCCACGGTGCAGCATCCCGAACACTGCTGAGGAATTCGGAAGCCGTCGAGACAACGCAAGCGAAGATCCAACCACTATGGCAACCGCCTGGTTGACAATGTTATTTGATACCACCACGAACAGGATGTTTTCTACCTTGCATAAAAGTGGAACCGTGATGGAGAAGTGGATTCCAGCACATTTGCTACTTGCAGTTGTTCATCAGCTGTCGTTTTTCGACGTTACTAAAAAACGTTATTTCTTGTACTTGTGTCCTAATTGAATTACTCTTGTATTTAATGTGGCGACCGCTTATTGTATATACTATCTTTATATGCAGTCAAGAAAGTCCTTAGTTTCTACGAAATGTATTTTCAATGGGAGATTCCATCGATTCCAAGATCTTTCTTCCATGGTTGTGGTTTCCTAGTGCTCTTTTTTAGTTTGAGGTATGCGAACAATGGTTCACATCACCTGTTCTTCTTGCTTCTCTGTTGCCTTTCAGATTATTAAATTGCAATATAGGATGCAGGGCTAAAATTAAACTCGGATTTTCGACACACCGACCTGACGCATTAAGTTGATGCTGGATGGGCCTCAGACGCGATTAGGCTCATTTTATTGATCCGCCCGAAGGCTGTTGGCTGTGATTGACGTGTGCGTATTTCAACCAATGATGTCTCAAGGTCACGACTAGGTCGATAAACAGCTAATGCTTGAGCTCCTGGGACTGAGCCACGCCCTGGCTCAATTGGTCCAGGGCTAGGAAGCGAGCGTTCGTCACCGTTGGTGGAACGAGGATTGACATGTGCCGAAACAGATTCCGGACGAAATAACGGACGGTAAATGGCACTGATGATAACAATGCGGCCTGCGAGGTCCAGACAACTCGCAGATGCTCGCGAGTTCGAAGGGAGACGGTCACAGCAGTCAAAGTCACAGTAAACAATCTTGTGGGATTTTGATCCACATTTCTGTTCTACAAGTACTATTCTGTTAAAGGAGATGAAAAAATCACACAGGGTTCCTGATGGTGGAAACTTGTTGATATATTCTTTCCTCTCTCATCTTGCAAATCACTTCGGAAAAATAATAGGCCAACACGGCAACGTCAAACTCCTAACTGGTATCCAAACATACGACAGGAAGCATCCTTCGAACACCTAGATCAGACTAGGTCCTACGGTGACTAATTAGCCCACAGCAGCAGTAATATCACTATTTTGGAGAGCTTATACAATATGCCAAAAAATTCCCACTGACGCTCCCTTAAAACAAGAATTTGTGAGCTACTAGCTGAGATTATGACTTGCTTGCGCAATCAGTGATCGTTCGCACATTGTAGGCCAGCGACTGCTTCACTGTAGTCTAAAGTGAGAATCCTTGAGTTGTCTTAATGAACTCACAGGCACCCAACAATGCCTCAAACAAAGGGCAACCAACCAGTCAGCTGCTTTTAACAAGATTCTCATATATGACGGAAATGGCGGTTGTTTGGCAGCGATGAGTTGATGGATGATTCGGAATCAAGACAATAGTACCCATCTGGTCCGGTAAGGAGAGAACGGACAAGGAATCACCTGGTTTCGGCCACTTTGCTATGAAGCATATGTTCAAGTGTATCTGGATTGACGTGTGACCCGAAAAGCTACTCTGACGTGCATCTATGAACAAAATAGTTTTGAGATGTCTATACGCGATTATCTTGCTACCCAGCTGTTGCACAACATCTCACATAAGCAAACATCGTTGCCAAGCAACCAAACAGGGATGTACCGGGGACTTTCAGGCCGAAACTTCCACATTACAATCATACTGTGTGTTTTGATAGGAGATAATGAAGAACCAGGTTGCTTGCTGCAACAAGTTTACGCTAGTCTCATTAGAACCATGCAACTATCCAGAATTCTATGAGTTGAAGTCCAGTCCAGGAATTAGCTACACTGAATGAAGCCGACTGCATCCTTGAATGTTCCAAGTTGGAAAGAAGCAAAATAAACAAGAAAAACGAATAACACTGAACTTGTTTCATGTAGCTTACGAAGAAAAAGAAACAGAATTCTACCGAAGCTTTGGTTCGTAAAAAAAAGACTTTGTTTTGTAAAACGTACGTGAAGGTGAATCATGGTGAACGGGATTCGGGTTATCAGTGGCAACGATATGGGAGTTGAGCCTCGTGGAGTTAGTGAAGACGCACAAACAACTGGGGCGTCCGACAAAAATTTGGAAGTAGAACTTCTGGTGTCAAGGCAGAACTACGTGCAACATTCAAGAACTGATAAAAAATGCTTAGATTCACTAGTACTTGGTGTGGTGACGCAATAAGCTCACCTGGAGTGCACACCCGTAAGGCATTCTGCTGAGCATCTTTCAATAGTCTAGGGGTAATACATGATGGTAAATCCGAACAGGCTGAATTTGCTCTTTACTACTAGAAAAGAGAGGGCAGTAGGGATTGATCCAATATACCCGTTGGGGTGTATACAGATGGCTTCGTATATACGTTTCTGAATATAAGTCCCAATCGGAAGGATCCCGTGTTGGGAACTTGCGTCGAGTGCAATAAATGTGATGTTTTCGTTAGCTTTTTTTACGTTTTAACAAATATTGTGAAGACTTGCAGGGACTTGCACGGAAAATGATAAGAGATCCTTAACCGTCCGGATCTTACAAGGTTATTGGATTTTGGCTTTCTCTTAGGATCCAGAAACGTTTCAACATGTCACACGAGTCTGGTGCATCTGTCAACATCAGAACGTGGCCAGCACTATCATTTACCAAAACGTAACCACGTGAAGTGGTTCTCCTAATGAAGGATGGGTGGCGCGAGTCACTCGTAGCCAAACCGTTAAGCGCTCGAACTACCATCCAGGTGATCGCGAGTTCGGGACGTGTTAGGCAGGAGATTCGGGAAATAAGTACTGCTGACGATTTCCAGGAGGCATGAAACAGCTGTAAACTTCTTCTAGACTTTTCACAGTTTCCCAGTTTTAACTATTTGACGAGATTTTCTACCAGTGTAGGGAGGAAAACCCTTCACTCATGGGCAAACACCAAGTAAACAGTTAAAAATTACCGGGCAGGAAAGTAAGCACTTCATATGCACCTTATTCTTAAAAACTGAACATCCTAACGCGTCTTCTCGAACTTTTATGGATATTCATTGACTAACACGCAATAGTAAACGAACGCTGCAAAGCGGTTCCACAGGTTCTGTAGTCAACCCCACCTTCCATTAGATGCGAGAAAACCACATACTACTCGCATGTCTCATCAGTAGTATTCGCCGTAACACCAGTTATTTCCTCTTTTAAAACGGCAGAAAGCAATGGATGCCGTTATGCTGATGACAATAAAATGTGCATCACGGTTAGAACGGTTCACATAAAATTCTTCAGCCACCTGTCCTAATCAAAATGGTTATTTTGGACACCCTCTTCAGGGTACATCTGTTTTCCTTCACTCTGACTTTGCACGTGACTACCAAACGAGCTGAACGTAAAAGTAAGCACTGGTTTGCAAATTAAGACAATACTAGCGCGATAATCCTCTGAATTTCTTGTCTACAACGTGAGACGGATAGAACTATCAGTCACAGACTCTATCGAGACCCGGTTTACAGCAACATTTAATAGCAAACGAGCGTTCAAGTCAGAAAAATTGCCCATTGTTTCCCGAGTTAAATAACAGTCTACTATCAACTCCACTAAGCAGTTGATTTTGGTCTTTTTCAGGGATGAACGGACAGCCAATGTCTTGGACTGCTCACCCATCTGAACAGATGATCGAAGAGAAGAGAACGAGAAACCGCTACTGGATACTCAAGATTACAACGACATGAATACTCTTACGAATACAAGACAATAACAAGACTACATCAACAAGGCTACTAATAGATAGTTCGTAAACCGATGTGGAAAAGAGCAATACATTGGCACATTGCACACGGGGAATGGACGAACTATCGGTCACTTCAACGAGAAAACGCAATAACGGACGTGAAACAAAAACGAAAACTCAGGAAAGTGTTCTCATACCTAGGATGTAAATTTTAGGCAGAACGTTAGACAAAACGTTTCCTCAATATTAGCTACGAGGAGATTCACTGTGTGTGAGTAGCGGAAACGAACCAAGACTTTCATCCTCAAAGAGCACTCTAGCACTTCTGACTTTGTGTGGTGCACTAGTTTATCACTTGAAACACAATAGCAGAATAGGATTGACGCAATCGTTTTAGAAGCACTGTCTGTCTCTACTTTTTCACAGATGGAATATGGTGGGAAACGATGGGATCTCTGGTCAAAAATAACTTGTTGAAAAACGGACCAAAAGCATCAGTTTTACAAAAGAATCGCTTACTTCTCTTGGAAATATACATTTGTTTAGAGACCGGAGGAAATTCACTGACGTAAGCCGTACAGATGTATGTTCCGAAATCATCATCACGCAGGCTATCTTTTCTGTAGGTCACTCCTCTGTGTAATACCTCATGCCCGCCTTCGCGACGCCAATCTATACGAGGTGTTGGATTACCTCTAGCCGGACACTCCATCGCGATATCCTCTCCAACCGAGGCGGTAAACAAAAGTGGAGAAGGCTCGAGAAACTGTGGTCCAACTGAAATTTGAATGATACCATTTTAAGAATCGATGATAATCACCTGAAACATCAAGTAGTTTCCAGCGCGAAATTAGACCAAGGTTTTGTGGTCGGGCACATTAGGAATGTAAAACTAAACGATTAGGTGACAAGCAACGATCGGGAGCTTGGTAAGTTTGCTCTGAGGAATACGTATTCTTTAAAAAATACGCTTTACTCCCTATCACAATGACAATAAAATGAAATCTTTCGAATCTCCCTTTTTCTGCTGGGTTGGTTGAGCGGAATGAAAGTTTTACATCGAACAAGATCTCTCGTATTAGGCGGGTAGACTATTCTGTTCTGTGTCTGACTAGTACGAATGCACATGAATTTAGAAACAGTAAACAGCAGCAATACACCACCAAGACTTGAAGTTCCCCCACACTCAGGTACCCACAACCGCACACACACACACGTACGGACGCAAAAGTAGATACTCACATTTCACTCGAACTGTTGTTTCGGTATGTCCCTTTTTGTTCGAAATGGCGATGCAGCGGAATACGGCATTGTGCATGTCTCTTGTCAGTCGCAGACGATACCATGGGTCGGCGATATTCTCAACTTGTCTGCCGTTGACAAACCATCTGAAATTTGGAAACGGTCAATTTTACGGATAGTCTAATCACGTGTGCGGTAGATCCTTTGATACTAATTGGACCAGAGGTTTACTGGTAGGCACCTGAATGTATTTCACGTCTGCACGATGTCCAGTTGTTTGCTGTAACTAACTTGCACCATCAACTTACCTTGTATGTTGCCTAGCACGATGTGTCTATCGCATACGGTCCCGCAGTGTGCCACCAAGGTGAGAGTCTCCATTTGAGGTCATACTACAGCAAAACACCAGGCAAAACGCATGCATCTGCGTTGCAGGTCCTAAAAACTATATCACGTGAAGTCCTCTAAGTAATAGTACCAGCTGGACTCGGACAATCAGATAGCTTGACTAGGTAACCGCCGAAATGAGTTGACAGCACACAAATCTCGCTATCAAACAGCTACCATATTAAGGTTTTATCCTACCAGACTCTCTGTTACGTGTACCGGTCCACTGAAACTTGCTGAATGATCGCTTTGTGTGAAAAGGAAACCAGTGGACTCAATCAACACCAGTGTATTCCAAACACGCTTGCACGCTGCACTTTACCTTACCATTTTGTTTGAGGGATAGAGTGCAGTTGGTTGGCTGGTAGAGAGGACAACTTGTGTTGGTCGGCGAAAGACCGACTGAACCTCTGATGTGCGGGGAAGACTAAGTCGGTAGACAAAAAGATAAGTTGTGGGGTTTGTGGGATGTGTATTGTTCACATTCACATCACTCTCGTTTGAACAGTCGTTCTCCTGTCCTGGCGCAATTCTCCTGATGAATCCACACCAAAGGGGGAGCCCTGGACTCGAGTTTCGCTCTTATTATAGCTCATCAGCAGTGCCGGGGTTTAAACTCCGGACTCGTGACACCTGATGTGTCGGGTATACCAATCACATCGCTCAAGCGTTCAGACGTCCGCCCGTTCAGACGTGAGTATTCAGATGCGTCCAACGTGCGCTGTTGGGATAGTGGTAACACGTTCGCCTCGCATGTCAGGTGTCCGGAGTGCAAATCCCGGCTCGGTCATTGGATATGCACTGCTGATGAGCCCTAATAAAAGCGAAACTCGCATCCAGTGCTTCGCCCCCTTTGATGTAAATTCACCAGAATAATTGCGCCAGGACAGGAGGACGACTGTTCAAACGAGAGTGATGTGAATGTGAAAAAAGATGTGTTTCACTTGGACTCTGAACGGTTTACTTCAAACACATCCTCGTGCAGCAACCATGAATAACAGTAGGGGTCAATATATCGTCAAATACGTTTACTGCGAGTCAATTTATCACTGGATGGATTCGAATGCGATTCGAATGCCACACATGGCCAGATTTGAACAGTTGAGCCATGATTTGGTGCACCATGTGCACTGGGCAGATGCGCCCGGATGAACCAAAAGGGACGAGTACTGTTGATCGGACAAGTGTCAAAAAGCATTGGAAGACACAGGGACTGGTGGGCACCTGTTGGCCGACGCCACATTTGGTACAATAGGTATCTGCTCTCTACCGTTCAGTTTCACGTCTGTGTCTTGTAAGGCTCTTCACAGCCTTTGTTTCAGAGAGGTTTGGTAAACAATCGGTAGAGTTATTGCTGGGTAAAGTTTCGCTTCTAACACGAACGCTTTGTCGTACCAACTGAGTAATTAACCAGGTCGATTGGGTTTTAAGGCAGTCAGGGTATCAGACCGTGTGATTTCTTATGACTAGTCGACTTGATCAGTGCTGGGTGTCGGTCTAAAGTTCCCGTTTGTTGCTTGGTGGGGATGACTGACATTTACGACAGATTGGTTAGGGGGGACTGCCTTCATGTTGAAACCGGATTTTACGGCCTTGCTTTTCCGGTCTAGGACACCTCGATGGAATTTTTCTCTTAGCGGTCGTTCACAAATTCTGTTCGTCTGTGTTTGTCGAGGGGTGCCAGGACAATTGGTTTGGTAGGGGTGGGGTGGCTGATTGGATCTTACTCCGCTTGTATGCTGTACTTTTAGTCCCAGACCATTTTGCTGATACCTGTCTCGTGTCATTTCGGCTGGTCTAAAACTGTTCTCCACACGTTTGCGGATTCTACGCCCTCCATCCTATTTATGCTGGGATGTTTGGCGATTTCTACCACCTCGGCCATCAGTCGCTGTGGTGTGAATCTTAGTCCCCGTCTTAGAATATCCACATTTTACAAATCTATCCTATACCAGACATCTCTGAAACCTTGAGTACCCATAGGTACAAAAATTTTCCAACCGTTTACAGCCATTCGTGTTAGCATTCTCTGTTCTGTCCTCCGTTTTTTTTGTTACATGTTGGGCAGGCTTTGCAAAGTCTCTTCCCACTGGAAAAACTCCTGCTCCAACAAATTCAAGGGCTGCTTCATGCACCTCGGGTCCCTTGATTCGTACGTCACGGATCTTGCATCAAGGCAGAATTTTATGTCAACTTGCTATGTACTAATGAGCTATAAATTGGCTTTCGTTGGATAAAACCGCCATTATTGGCACCGTGGGAACGTACAACCTATCATTCAGCTGTAGCACCCTATTGGTGTCAGAATGAAGTGCGAGGGGTGGGATACTGACAGGTTTCCCAAGCCTAGACAGGGAAGTCGAGGGGCAGAGGTCGGATTCGAACCATGGAACTACTGTTTTAACCACTAAGCCATCTTGCCCACACGTATAACCTATTCTGATGAGCACCACACCGGTGCACGTGATTTTTTTCTAGGCGAATCTATAACCCCTTGAGTGTTTGAAGTTACTGTTGCTTTGAATTGAATGGCTTCGACAACTGCGGTTGGGCACACTATGGACGTGCTCAACTATCCATCCATAGCTTCACTGAGATTACCCAAGTGGTTAGAGCACGAATTTATTGACCGAAAAGTCCTTGGTTCGAACCCGACCTCTGCCTCTCGACTTCCCCTGTCTGGGCTTGGGCAACCTGGCAGTATCCCTGCCCTGGTGCAAACTTTGGGTGGTATGGCAGTTGGGCACCGAAAGGGTGCTACAGCTGAACGATTTCATTGAGAAATAATGATGGAAAGCCAACATGAGACCAGAGTGTTTCGGGTCACTTACACACTAACTACAAGTTGTACAGCCTGAAGTTTCTGGACCGAAGCAGGCTTAAGCTGAGTAATGCGTACAGCTGTGAATAGCTTTGAAAACTTAACCTTGAAGAACTATGAAACCTGAGCAAACGTCAGACCATGAAACAATCCTACGGGATATTTTACAGCAATATCAATGAGCCATATCAAATTCATTATTGTAACTCTGGCTGTTGTGATCGCCAGAGGAAGTGTCTGCAGCCTAGTGAGGATAATTCGCTTTCAAAGGGATCATCTGTCTTCGGAATGGTCGCATTCGGATGAGGTTAGGTTGGTGAAGAAGGAAAGTTCTCTCGTGACGTGTCACTTATGTGACATGACTAGCAGTAGATCATTCTCTTTCCGGGAAAGGTCAGAAAACAAGGAATCTTTCACAATAAAATTGTCTATGGGCGTAAATTCGGTATGAGGACGCGATCTGCTGTAAAGAAAGGTGATATCACGGCACTGAGACTGTGTTAGGTGACTGGAATACTGACCGTAGGCATGTAACTCAAATTTTAGCACCGTAACGTTCTTGCAATCAGCTGAAGTGTCGAAACTCAACAGTCAACTCTGAAGGAACCACTTAATCCTTCAACTATGAACTGTTTCCACGCTTCTGTCTCCAGTCTCTCTCGAGAAGACAGGTTTTAATGATATCCAAGTGACGAACGTCGACTGTTGGATTTATTTGAGTGAATTGCTTCCGATTCTGTCCTTCCACTTCACCATATTGTTGCTCTGCGTAAAGATTACTTCGACAAATATCCAATGAACCGCTTTGGTTATCACAGGCATTAATTAGACTAAAAACATGGAGTTTGCCTGACGAGAGACGAAGATATTTCAAAAACTTTTGGCGACGGGTTTGATTTATCTTGGGACGATGAGCTCAAATCAACCGTGCAATGTTCGTTCTGTGCCCGCAAAAAAGAGTAAATTGTATGCGGTTTTATCCGGGTGTCCGGAAGGAGATTACTCAGGCTGTGTGACTACTTTGTAAAGGTGTGATGGAAACCTACACTACTACATTGGCGGATGGCTTAGTAGTATATTTCATATGGTGTGGAACGGATAAATACTGTATGTGCTACCTTCTCGTACTAGAATCAAGTGGCAGAAGCTAGTACAAGCTACGGTGGAATTACAGGAACGACCAAACTGAGGACAGCTGCTTCCCTGTATAGACCAAAGCTGCCATTCTCTCAGTCACAACCAAAATGTTTCACCCTTCCAGATAAGCAAGGATAGCTAGTGATATGATGTCATAACCACGCCACAGTCACTGGCGCATCCTGCATGCCTGTCGGCCAGGAACTGTTCGCCGTTATAATGGGCGGGTAGACTCGTAAACTTTCCACCCTATCGTTCTGAGTTATTCATTCGGGAGATTTTGATAAACACATTCTCCGCCACAAGCACACGTACCACGAAACCGGTTGTGTTTGAATTCCGCGGTATATGGAACATGGTTTTCTTCAACTCTACTCACCTACCGGAAAAAGTTAATCTACAGTTAACCTCGAACGAAAGATACCACGGTTTGATGGGATTTTTACCTCTTTAGAAGTGGACCCTTCTCTGGAGACCCCAATAAGCTTGATTGTCTCCTGTCCAACCCGGTGGTGTGTCTTCGAAAGGTCCCTGGCCGCTATGGTACCCCGAGGCGGAAGGAATATTGCAGTTAGGCTTTGTGGGCAGCCAGTTGAACACTCTTGTTCAATTCCTATTCTGTGTAGTGCAATTTCTCGCTTTGCTGTTTCCGTCTTCTGCGCGTATCTCATCGTTTTGTGTTTGGTCTGAAGTGTAACCATCTTTTACCTTGGAATAGCCCGCGTAGTCCAATTCAACCACGCGAACTTAGTCATCTTGTAGTTACTCTGTTTTCACTCGGCGTGACCTTCGGTTAGGCGTATTGTTTCCTACTCACTTTATTCGAAAAGTATCCTGTTTGGAACCAGATTTATGGAAACTGGCATCTCATGATTTTTTACTTTTGTGTCATTTCCCGCTCAGCTAGGCGTGGCCCATCTGATTCCTGGAAACAGTCGGTAATACTCAAATCGTGGTGTCACGCTGGCATCTACATACCGATTCTAAATGTGATCCCGCGCGGTTGTATCGAATTACGCGCGTTATTCCGAGGTCAAAGGGTGGCTAACTTTCAGATCAAACACGAAGACTACATATGGGCACAAAACAGAAACAACAAAAAGCGAAAAATCTCGCTGTACATGGGAGAACAAAGTCAACGGCGGGGTACTGATTTTGAATTCGCCTAAGCGCGCAATCAAACCATTACACACCGCTGACCTCTTGTTATACAGCGAATACAGTTAATTAACAGGATATCCAGGTAAAGCTTAATTAGTCGAAACTTGTTTCAGCTAGCATCTTGGCGAAATTTTTTGCCCAGGTAGATCACCTGATTGTCATGGCCGCTTGCTTGCACAACCAGATGGGGAATGAACATAGTTCACTTATCTGGCCATGGGCCGTAAAACAAGGTGTTAACTGCCTGAACTGTAGAACCGGATAGACGACATTGTACGGAATGTACTGCAAGTATAAGATGACGGGTGAGAGTCTCTCAGGTTGGTCTGATGCATTGGAGACCTTGTGAACAAAACAGTTGTAAAGTGACTGAAAAATTGGAACAAAAACAGTTGCCCGAGGCCGGACGGTTTGTTATTAAAACTACTAGCTAAAAGGTCGCGGGTCCGAAACTACCTTTCTAATACGGATAAAACAGCTATACAGTATATCTCAGCTTCTCAGCAAAGACTGGTTTCACTTATACGATAAAATTCAAATAGGAAATCCTCTCCATACATCCATCACTGTATAAGTAGCTCACAGGAAAAATAATTTCACAAAAGGGGTGAGACTTTTGTTTGAGAAGTGATCACTCTAGTAGCCAGTCAACACGTCACTAGGTGATGTTGTTTCCTTGGCTGGAGGATTAGTGGCGCTATATTCCGCTTAAAGGAGACTGATGACCAGGAGCTTGTGACACGCAGTTAAGTCTTCCAGGAACCAACCAGTCGGTCGCGGGTTCGAAGCTCCCTGGAGCTTTGTAAGAATTACAGTGATGATGATTCCCAGTAGGGACGAGACGGCTGTATATTAATTACTTCTCGGCTTTTCAGTACAAACCATCTCCCCTTCCAGGACGAACTTCAAACCGAAAGAAATAGTGTTTCACAATTTGAAAGAGGATACATTTAGCCGGGTTTTCGATTTAAAGTGCGCTTTCAGTGAGAAAGATCTGTTCCTTGCATATCTATGTAGGTGGGAAGGTAAAGATACGCGCACTGATGATAAAACCCACAAATTAATCTCCGCACTGAAACCACCCCTAATAGAAAACTACTTTTGTACGCTCCCTCTTTAGAAGAGACCTTTCTCCGGAGATCGTATTTCATGAGGAGCAATCTTGTGTGCAAATAGCCAATTGCAGCCTCTGTCGTTGCAACATCAATCTCCGATGACTTTTATGCCAAACAGGACACTTTTCCCCCATTTTTACCAAGATTCTGGTCATGCAGATCAGTTTTAAAATGATGCTTTCCTTGAAACATCAACTACGCAATCTGACTGTCCAAATCTAACAGCGACATATCGTACCAATGAAATACTGTGACATAATGGATAACGTTAACGTATGCATTGAACTTCAGTTGGCGCACCACCTGGCATCTTCCTGGTAACTATGTCGTACAGTGTCGGAAAAGAGGAAAGCGTCAAGGAAACTTGGATATTAGAATTGTTGAGGACTACCATTATGAACATGTTTCCAACTACCCTACTTGTGAGCGCTGAGTCTGTCCACCGAATATTTTAGCCACGTGAATGCAAACCAAAATAACGCCTTATCTATCGTATTTTAGGTCTCATTGTTTTCATTCACAGCTTGATAACGGAAGAAGCTCTTCACCTCTCAATCAGTCCCGACAGTATGATACGTTATTTTTCAGCCATGTTATGCACAAAACGGTATTTTCGGGAAGACCGACACGGTGATTATAACCTTTGAATTTTGTGGGCTTTTACGATTTCTCACCTGCTGGTTAATACTTTGTGGGTCTCTCGGATTTAAGCGTTTGTGAGGAGACGAGCGACTTTCTCGGCCCATCAGCCAGGCCGAATAATACAGCGTGGATGGCCGGAGATACGGCTTCATTTGGTTATCTTTGTTCATTTTCTATTCCATTTCCATCTGTATCCGTCAGACCCACAGATCAATATCCACGCCTCTCTGGCACATGAAACAACGGATCATCCATCACATAACACGCTGAAACGGTCCCTCAGTGTATCGAACGCCTCAGATTCATTATCATAAGCACGTGGGTTCGAATGCAGCTGCGACCATGCATCTCAGGTCAAGAGTATGCTAATATGTTCCAAACAAACCGTATTACTAATGAGAAGAGATTTCGACGGTCGATGAGAGGTCATTGTCACAGCAACACTACTAGCCCAACCAGTGTGATTCTGTGGGCGACCTAGGTGAGCGATAGTCATCTGACCTCAGAATAAAAAGCTGCGATTGTCAAAGAATCATGACTAAGAGAGTCAGATCTCAATTTTTTAACATTAGGCCGATGTTTTCAACCGATTAATTTGTAACAGTGGTTGAATTAACGTATCAAAATGTGTTTCAACTCTCCGTTCAAGCTGACACTTGTAAATTAAAGTGTTGATCTTAGGTTCATGAAAACTACTGAAAAAGGGATGTCATTCGACTCTTACGAGAACCATCGTATTGTGAAAACTGATGCCTGACCAGAAGTTTAACGGTAGAACAAGATTGATGAGAACACCTGAAAGTGTGAAACCGGCGACTGGTTGTCGAAAATTTATAGTCCGCCATGTAAGTAGTATCGTGAGTAGTATTGGCTGTAAACTTGCTCGCATCAAGCGGAAGGCGAGAATGAATGATCATAACGTTGTCTCACAGCTATTCTGATACACTTTGTCTCGGGTTCTTGAAGGTAAAATTGTTAGACAAGGTGCGGCACTCCTTGGAACAACTAACACTGAGGAAACCTTCGATCTGTATGTATAAGTTTACTACAGTGTAAATCCCGCGAAGTCGGTGACCCACCCATCAAAAGTCACATGGTAGGGACCTTACACTAAGGTATGTTCTTGGATCGATTCAATAACGTTGCGGGTGTATTTGACATCCAACTCGACGGCTTTTGAATGAATGCCTTACATGGGATGACCAAACAATGGTTTTGAATATGAAACGTTACACGCAAAACACAACGATGAAAAAGTTGCCGCTGTTGCAGAACCCGTATGTCAAGCTACGGTTGCCAGTAGTTTCTCAAAAAAACCTTGTCTAGCGCAATAGAAAAGTTTACATCACAATGACATCAAAGTCCAACGACTGGAGTACAGTGTAGTTCTGGTTGAAAACATTTCTAAATGTCACGACGAGTAAACGAAGCTTACTAGCAGACGTCAGCAAGCGTTGGAAACTCTGGAAGGAGGAGGGGGCTTGATCAACTTACTCCCACATGAAAGAATCCGGCCGACCATGAGCCGCGCATTCCACCGTAATGATATCGTGTTCCATGTACTCGTTATCACGCCTCGGAGGTCGCACTTGTATGCTGACAACGGGTGCATCTAGATGGAAATGGCAGTTAAAAATCGATTATCTTGTGAAGTCTCATCCTTCTCCGTGAAACAGTGTCCAGGAGTTAGAAGAACTGTTCTTTCCATTGGTTCTTGTCGGGGGAACAATATGACCGATTCAACCCATTGATCCTCTGTCATTTTTATCATCAAAATCGATCGACGGTACTAATCCTACTGAAGCAATATATTTACACCAATATAGCCTGTGTTACAGGATCGTTTTGCTGGTTTGAAACTGTTCTCTCCTTCCCTACTGAGTCTAATTATCTGGCCAAACCCTACAACGGTCTCTGTGCCGGTTAAATGAGGCATTTTAGGGGTCTTTTTCAGATAAGTTCCGCCAGTTCCAATTTAATGTACGCACACAACCTTGACCTGTTTTTGATGAAAACAATTCCTTAACCGCATCTAGTCTCATTTTGTGCAAACATTCTCTGCGTTCGGACGCAGAACCTTAAATGAATTTTTCTGACGCTTGCAACTCTCGTTCATGACAAGGAGACGGCAATACGTTTTTTGTAAAGTCACGGAGTGTCCATCAGCAGCGTTTATGCAATAATGGCCACCAAATGACACTTTCAACTGTTTCTGACAGGTGGAGGTATAGTGCCCGACAGTGTCGGCAAGAAATCGGTCTTCGAAAGGGAACTTGGCTAGAGCGGTCTAGGATGGAATTTAGGACAGTAATTCTATTCATTTACTGCTGGTCCAAACAGTTGGCAAAAATCAAATTCTGCTCAGAGGAATAATCTATTGGTCACACGACCGCTGTTGACTGGAAGAACTATCTTCGCGAAGTTTGCGCCTGGCGGCTTTTGCAGACTCCAACGGTTAATCATACCGAAACCTTTGTGGATCCAACGACTGAAGCTCACACACAAACCATCGAATCTTTTTGGCACGTTTACAAGATGCAGAATAAACGCCAATACGACACACGCTGGTCTTTAGTGGACAGCTACTTGTGTGAGTTCGTTTGGAGGCGGAGATGCCGAAAAACGGACCTTTTCATGCGAATTATTAATGACATGTCCCAATTTCACCCTATTCAATAAAAACTAAAAGTAGAAATTCCATATCTTCTTTTTTCTAATTTTTTGGGGGGTGGCAGGGGTTAACTTTTTGGCGGATCTTATCTGGGAAAGATCCAATTTTAATGCTGCAGCGAGCAGCATTGAACAGTCCTGTCTATCTTTGTGCAACTATTCTGGTTGCTACATCAAAGGGAGAAAGTACAGAACTCCAGGTTCACTTATATATTTATATATATATATATATATATATCAACAGCACTATATATTCTTGTCCGTGTTGGCTTTTTACCAGGCGAAGCGAGCATGTTACTGGATGCACCTTAATTATCGCGTCTGATCAGGCGAACATGTTCACGCCTGAACGTTGTGACTGGTTTGCCCGACGGCTCGAACGAATGTTCTGGTTGTGTTGATTGCTTAACATGACGGCCAAGTGCAGATGCGTCAAGTATGCGGTGGTGAGTTTGTCAGCATGCTCATCTCGATGTCCGGGGTTCAAACCTCGGCGCGGCCAAGGATGTGTACTACTGTTGAGCTCTACTAAGAGCCGAAATTCGGGCCCATTTTGGTATGGAGTAACCAAAATAATTTCGCAAAGGCAGGAGACCAACTGATCAAACTTGAGTGAGTGGTGGGACTTCTGTCATACATATCGTGACCTAAGTATCTGTTCCACATGTTCCTGTGAATAATGTCGTCCCGGTTCGTAGGGAACAGCGAGAGAGAAGTAAAAATCACTCCAAGAAATGACAGTTTTTAACGTGCCGTTTAAAGTTCCACGGTTAGAACGTTTAGGACGTTACAAGACAAAAAACCAGCAGCCAGTTCAAGCAGCCTCTATAGGGATTCGAACTCGAGTTTTCGAGACTGCAGTCTAAGAAGAGAGAAACACAATGTCCGTATATAAAGCATGTGATGCCTTCTACCGGTGATATCCAGGGTGTCGGTCCCTCTGGTAGACGCCAATCCGTCATTCTAGAAACATGGATTGGCGAAATTCGAAGAGGGGGGTGGACGGATGCAAAAGGTGCTCGAAACAGCTTAAAGGGGCTTCAGAACATGCGTGAAATACACTTATTTTGAAGTACAAATTAATACCCCTCGGTTCCAGTTTATACATACTAAGCTATGAACAACCGTAATGATGTTCGCTTCTGCTCTATCTGCCACTCAAGTGAACTCACTGACTACAACCTAGTCCAACATTCATTTTCAGCGATTTCTTGACCCACGGTCCGATTGCATAACCTTCCATATTCGGGTGAACGACCGAAGTGGACTATCCTTGGTCTAGTTGAGGACAAAGGAGACCACCAGAGGAACCTATTCACATACCTACCATACAACCATATGACGAGTATCCCGGAGGCGCTGGTTTCACATTGCTACCAGATATATGAGCCAGCTACATTTCATCTAATAAATTGCTGTGTCTGGTTACATTATCTGTAACCAGACTCTTTGAGTTGTATTCATTGCATTGATCTTCAAAGCCAAGACCCTTTTGTTCCTAATTGCTTGTTCAAAGAACGTAGAATCTGTTTGCTAAATACCTAGCCACCTACCTTCTGTTGTTGTCTCCTGTTTTTACGGCAGTCGAGTTCCAGTGGTTACGACTTGTGTTTTATGGTTTGCGTATCCACTCGTCCCCAGAACACCATTTACCAAGTCAAACAACCGCTTCACAGATACGTTTTTGCGATGGTCAGAGGTTAGTGGGTACGGAAACGGGAATTAGAGAACCGGTTTGTAAAAACCTAGATTCAGGATGAATGGTACTATTAGCGTAACCAATATCGCAGGTTGACAATACAGTTCTGGATTTTTCTTTCGTTCAGTTTGATCAAAAAGACCTTCAAAATTGCCATCCGACCCTTGAAACATGTGAAGTATTGGATATTTGTCAAAGGATTCGCGGTTTTTAAGGGGGTAGGTGGATCCTTGTAAAACATAATCTTGGATTATCCAACAAAGCAGTAAGGATCTGATTAAAGAGGACAAGGCCGTATTCCGTCCACACTCACAACACCTCCCCCGGCTGAGCTTGATGGGATGCTGCTGACATCTTCAAAGTCATCTAAAGAGAGAGGCACTTCAACTAAAGGTCAAACATGATCAAGCACTACAATGTAGTTTAGAAACCAGAAAGCTAATTCGCTTGTTTCGAATGCAAGATGGGGGGGGGGTTTTGTTGTGTTTCTTTGACCAGACATAGCACGAAAGTAGCATGTCTGAACGTCTTTCCCCCAACTGGGGTGGAATATCTAGAATTGCCAGGAAATGACTATTTGTCTACCGTACATCATAAATTTACAAAACCCTTGAACAACAGTGTTCGGCAATTCATTCACTGTTTCTTACGATGGGGCTACGTCCCAGTTGTGAATATGTTTGCTTGAGTAAGATAACGGGTAGAGCCGAGGATCCGATATTCTGTTTATGAGGACCCCCACAAGTTTGCCTCACGCAAAATGGACTGTATCTTGAAATGACGCTCCAGATTGGAATTTTTTTGATCTGACCATCATCTAAGCACTTCATGACACACGTTTTGTGTGCCAAAAGTCAGCTATTTTTGCACCCTCGAAAATCTCTCTCATTCTCGACAATCAAGATGAGTATCAATCCCAGAATCTCACCACAATTTACAGCACTTTTGTGCTCATGGGAATGGTGTCCATTCAAAGGTTTCCGTTTTAAGTGGCCCGAAAAATACGTTGTTCGTTCTGATGTTATCCTTACTCTTACCGGAATCATCGTGATGGCCCAGTGGTTGGAACGCGAATTTACTGACCGGAAGGTCCGGGTTCGAACCGACCTCTGCCTCTTGATCTCCCATGTCCAGGTTTGGGGAACTTGGTAGTATCCGACCCCTCGTGCTTCCTTCTGATAGCATGGCAGTTAAGCACCGAAGGGGTATTACAACTGAACCACTTTCTTCATTGTGATAATTTATGCCTCAAACCAGTCACGTATCAAGTGCACATAAGCTGCACGGACCAACTATACTACTAGCATGCTTTCCTCGTTTATTTAAACAAAGCTACGTAAATGATTCTTTGGAATTGAATCTTCAGCACCAAATTGTTGATAATAATCTGTCCTTAACCAATGTGTTTACTCCGTCCTTCCCCCATCAACAAACAACTTTTTTTCTATCAGAACTATGCATTTTGTAAACTTGAAATCTTTGAGAGTAAAAACGCAATTTCAACCTCTAAAATCGTCGGTACGGTGTAGGGATGGCTTCATGGGTGAGGTAACAACAACAATGTAAAACCGTTCTAACCACGACTGAATGTAGCACCCGGCCAACCCGGACAAACTCACAGTGTACCTCCAATTTCGTGAACGCCGGACGTAGAGCCTGTTCGTCGTAACCAAGGTTTGTTGCCCGGCATTCGACCAGTTTGCCATGGTGCAATTTGTTCAGCCTTGCTGACATTTGACTGCTCGCGTCTTTTCTGTCAGTTCAGAAGCGATGGGTGAAAAAGCGTGAAATACCACGTTGACGTGACCTTGAATGGCAAGTAATTGTGATAATCTCGAATGTGTACAATTTCTGGGAAGGCTAGGCCAATTCCGAGAGGGAAAAAGTCATGAGCCACATCAGACTAGATTAAAAGTATGCATCTAGGACGTTATTTGAATCACTATGTGAAAAAATTGGTTTCGATACGAGGAAAAACTGTGTAATATATGAGAAATACTCAGGCATACCGCAGTCGCATATCGATAGTGTGTTTATGTAAGGTTGCTCGGAAAAAAAACACTGAAGATCGAGTCCAAGGGGCCACGAAATTAATAGTATGTCAGCTGTGCCATCGAGTAGCAGAAAGTTGGAGATCACTGACCTAGTACGATATTCCCAAAGTTTCATTATCATAGAACATCGTAGAGGTAGGTTGAAGGCCACTTGGTCATGGACTTATGATGAGACTCTCTGTAAAACCAGCTCTTTCTCTGACTTCATGGGTTGCTGCGTTTGAGAAGTCCAAACAACAAAAAAACCTATTGTTGAGCTGTAAGACCCTTTCAGTATCTAGCTACCAGACCGCCTGAAGGAGGCTCAAGGGCTGAGATACAGGCAGGTTGCCCAAACCTAGTTAGGAGTAGTGAAGATGCTGAGGTTGGGTTCCAACCACGGACAATCTGGGCAGTAAGTCGGCGCCTTAAGCACTGAGCTACGTCAACCTTTTTGACAAAGTCAATTGGGAGAATTGAACGGGCATCTGCACAAGCTAGGTTTGCTACCTGACAAAGAACACGTAGCATTATTCAATTTTGCTTTGGTATGAGATAGCACAGTACATAGGGATTCGATTTCGATGCAGGTAGACCTCGACGGCCACCAAAAACTGCTAGGGTAAGAATAAAACACAATTTGGAAATTGCGCATCCCTCGTTTGGCTATTGACGATGCGGCAATAAAGCTGTGAGGGGAGGGTTGACTGGGGTTTAATTCTGTTCTACATTGGGATCATTCTTGCGGTCATGTCTGTGATGGGTTACCAGTTCTCGCAATTTGACCTACCGTGTTTCTGTTGCCCACCGCTAGGTGAGATCTATGCACCAATTTATCAGTTCCCGCCTGCAATGCGCAGCTACCTACCGCCCCCCCCCCCAATTCATCGGTGAACGAAACTGCGGCAGCTACAACCACTGTACGACGAGTACGCGGTTATTACAGCTGACAATGATGATGATGATGAACGCGGACTAGTCTCACACATGGAAGTATAAAACACGATGTGTTATAGAGCGTTCTCCAAATTGAATCGTTTGTTTTTCGACGTTCAATCTACTCGACGATACTTTTCAAATCCACACTGAGTTTCAAATGATGGAGTATTTTTTTCACAGAAAAAATCAAGTGGAAAATTAAAGTGCTAAAAGCAAAAAAAGTCAACGCCTTATTCACACGAAGTGGTCTTGCCAGACGACAGAGGGAAATGCATTTGTCTGCAGATAAGTGCTAGTTGAAACTAGTTTGGCTACTGCCGGGGGCGACACCCATCTGAAAAAAACCTTGGGTGGGATCGGAAAACACATTTAACTTACGTAAGTGGTGTTACCACCCAGCCACCCTGGTTGCTAGGGGATGGTGGATTTCTTACAGGCAACAGGTCCAACCTCTTCAAATGCAGGTGGACCGTAAAAGTTCCGTTTTTTTCAATCATTTGTTTTTGCTCAATAAACTAGTCAGTCGCTTCCCTGTGTTGGACTGATTCGCTTTGGCTGTACATGTGGCGGGAAAAATTCATACGTACTGCCCGGGAAAAAACAGGTTTTCTGTACACTTTATCCACACAGTATGCAGATACTGTACTGGTGAATGCCGTTCGCCAAAAGAACACAAAGGTTAAAAAACTGGTAGACTGCCAGAACAGCCAGGATATTTTCGGCCCAATAAACTTTGCAGTATCTTCTAATGTGTCTTGGACTTTACTGAACTACAATTATGGTGAGAGCGATTGGAAAGAGCAGTGTGTGGTTGGAACTGACAGGCAACACCGTCTGACAGTATTATTGGGGATCACGTGATCTCCTGATCTATCAAGGAACCGCCTATCTTGATCACTTCAGACGTGAGACAGAGGAGTACGTGTGCGGACAAATGACAGTGAAGAGATTAAAAGTGGAGTTCCCTATGCATGACACAAATCAACGCTCACAACAGATGATCTGCTTGTATAAGACCTTCGAAATGCACTGTTAGTGTTTGGTTGGGGCATGAGAATAGTTGGACTGAGCATAGGCTCATTCCAAAAAGTTCCAAAAGCGTCTTGACATCTGGATTTAGCTCGTGTGATTCTCCAGAGAACTAGAGAAGCTGTTTTTTCACTCAATTGAAGCTCTCGTCTATGATGTTCTTCGATTGAATGTGCTGTTTCACTTGGTACGATATTTGAGATATCGCGGAATATTTTCATAAAAGGGATGTCGAACAGTTTTTAGCAACTTTGTGACGGGTTACCTTTATAAAATGTTGATTCATTCTACTTTTCAGAGTAGTTGTCAGTTATCGACCTAAAACGGGCAACTTGGTAGCACGACTGTAAGACAGCCTGGTTTACGACCGCCAAGCAAGACATAAGATGCTACGCTTTAAACTAACTGAGACGTCTTCAGGTGTTCGACAATCGTTGTCTCAGAACCATAGCTCGTGTGGGTTGGTGTCGGCGAATCCATAACGAGACAGTTAAAAAGCACGCAACGGGTACTTCCATTGAAGAATGTGTCCAGCACCAGAAGCTGCGTTCGTTGGGATATGTGTTACGTACACCGAATCATCGTTTGCCGAAGAGAGTGCTGTTTTCCATGCCCAATTCAGAGTGGCGTAAACAGAGAGATGACCAACCCTTGACTTGGCAAAGGAGTATGAAGGAGATCACGATACGCTTGGGTGCTGTCGGTGCTACTCGCCTTCCAGGATGGGGACCGCGTGATCCTCACTGTTCCTGGTTGGAGGCACTACAAGATATGGCGGCCAACCGATGTCAGTGGCGTTCTTGTTGTCAGTTTCTATCCAGATTGCCTGAGTGAATGTCCGGAATGATTGTGTTAAGCTAGCACTAAGTCCATTCTCCGTCCACCTTTATTCTCTTTTTACACTAAGGTTTTCAAATAAATCATATTTGTACGGCAGTGAAGCATCGGTGTTGAATACTGATGTTTTGCTGTCGATGATGATGATGATGATGATGATGATGATGACGCTTTAAACTGCATAGTTCAGAAGTACAAACAAGTTGGCCTGACGAGTTCAGAAAAAAAACAGTGCAGTAGTGAATTAACTCAAATAATCAAATATGCGTAGTGATCCGCCTAGATATGAGCACTCACGTTGATGTGTACACTAATAGTGAACAGCCTTTGTGCACTTTACCGTGAACAGCGTACTTTCACGATCAAAAAATGGAAGGTCCAACTATCTCAGAAATGCTTTTGGAGGGATTTTAAATCTTCCACTTCAGCATCTTGAGGGGCACTGTTACATCCACTCTTGACATGTTATGAAAAGGACCAAGTCGTCGATGAATGGGACTACATCTTTTAGGAACAAAATATGTACATTGCTAACTGCTCAGTTTTACTGCTGTGAGCTACTGGTTTGTCGGAGTGTCATCGATGGACCCTTGGTGTTGGAGAGGTCGAAGTTCTTGAAGTCAATTCACACAAATGGCGATGATTTTAAACGCACATCGTCTAATCCCCTGAGTTAACACACACACACACACACATTAGTCTTTCCGAGGGAATCTGGGCTCGATCCTGACTGTTTCCTTAATTCTCGATGTTTCTACTAAATATCAGGATATGGGATACATCGGAACCGAGATCCCTTTGCTTGAACTACTAATTCCCTTAAAGTAAGCTCACTCTTCTCACTAAGTTGCCTACATATTGACTACAGTCAGTGCCCCAGAGTAACATTTGACATGCCACATGTCTGTAAAGACTTTCTGTGGTCCAACATACGCTGCTGAGATAAAGGAAAAAAGCCTACTGATGATGGTGAGTAACAACCCGTTTTTTCTGTTTGCTTTTACGATAGGATGGTTTTTCTATTTGTTTTCAGGCGGAATGGCTTATCCTGCAACACACACACACACACACACACACACAAGGTTCGACCAACTACTATTCTGCCGCACACCTCACTTGGTTAACAAGCTTGTTTCATGCTTTTGTTTCGCACGTCTGTTACGAATCAACATCGGCTTGCTTCCGGTCGCTGGGAAGACGAATTGCGGCGTGAGTGATTCATCCACAGTTCCACTTGTAAGTGTGGACAAGCGGAAACAGCTGGTTTTAACCCGTACACGTACGCTGGTGGCTTTACTAACAATCTGGATCTTGTTCAGGAACACGTCGGACGAGGTGAACCATAATTATATTGTTATAGGGGAGAGAAAAATCCAAAACTCTTCATATTGAGTCGATCGAAGGCCCACAGGTGTAAGAAGGCTTTCTGTGGTAATCGTAAAATCACGTTAAACAGTGGGTGACAATTCGTTGGTTGATTTTAGTGCTTCTGAGGGAAAGATTTGGCAATGAACTCAAACGCATAATTCGGAGGTTTGCTATGTAAGGTCACGCGAGAGAAAGAAGATGAAATTTCTTGAGTAGTTCACACAAAAAACAGCCATGACTGTTTGTATCTGGAAATCTCCTTCTACGTATCACATGACCGTCATCGCTCATAAGCCATGTGATAGCCCATTACTTGTGTTGTCCACTTTGGAACTTATCAGCTGGGCCTGTTCCCCTAATTCCCATTGATCTCATTGGGCATTGAGTTGGACATCTGCGCCGAAAAGCGACAGATGCACTTGAGCATCAGTTACGTCTTCCTTTAAGTACTGATCCTAATGAAACACGAGGCTATCCTCTTCTCGGTCTTCCGGTTAAAGCATTTATACACCTGTGTGTATCGCGCAAGCACAATGACTCGTAGCCAACCTGTGTAGGCCGTAGTGGAGACCGATACACTGGCTAGGCTGCTTGACAAACTGAATGAATTCGAAAATAAATTGTTGAACATTCTTTGTCTACTGACAAACTAGCTTTGAATCCCCAGTTAATGTTGACGTTTGACCGATAGACATATGCAAGAAAGATCATTAAATTTTTAGTTGGGTAATTCCCAACGACATGCTCCCTTGGTCTCCTCACGCAGTGAAATTCCCTTTATTGATGAAACCGCCATTTAGATGTTCTCTTGAAATGTAGCATTCCCGCTTATTTTGAGGAAACATTCTTTCGTTTGAATTGCGCGCGAGTATAAACAATGTTAGTAGACTACTAGTGTAACCGCGGATACTACTGATGATGCGCGCGAGTAGTATGTGGTTTTCTTGTAACTCCGTCTCGCGTCCAATGGAAGTTGGGGTTTATTGCGGACCATGTGAAACTGCTTTTGAGCGTTCGTTTACAAATACGTGATAGTCACTGCATATCTACGAAATTTCAAGAAGATGCGTGAGGATATTCAGTTTTTTTAATAAGATGCATATGAGATGTTTACTGTTCTGTTGAATAGTTTGTAATTGTTTAGTTGGTGTTTGCCAATAAACAGCTCCGAGGCGAAGGGCTTTCATCCTTACACTGGCTCGGATGACGAGAAAATGCCGCACAACTTGTCATGACCTCCTAGTACCTGTGGGGTGGAGGCGGCAAAGCAATAACGCAGTGGGTGGCCTGGGTAGCGTCACTTCCGACTTTTTGAGCTGTCAGCTGAATGCAGGAATGGATGCGCCATGCTTTTTTCTCCCTCATGCACTTTCGATTCTCTGTAATGTGTCGCTTGGACGTCAGCTAAAATCCGTTGGGTGTCAAGCAAGCCGAAGAAACTTAAATCACACTTCACTCCAGAATTACTGATGTAACCCAAACTAATCGATAGATGGACAAGTGCAGCGTTTCATAGAAGGACTACTCGACCACTACATAAGTGATGGTCCCTTAATCCCTGGGCAGTTTGTTGGCACCAGTGGCCTTTGAAAAGCTGAGTTCACCTCGTAAGGTACCCTTTTTCGGGAGGCTTGGGACCACCTGATCAACTGCCAATGAATGCACTCAAGCTACCAACATTCCAACATATCGCCACTTTGGAAATGTTAACCGTTACCAGAGAATTCGTCTTTTCTAAATATAATCATGATGACTAATTTTTTAGCCAGTATCCCGACGAAATCCTCTTTTATCCAGGATACTGGCGTCTCTCCGAAAGAGGTTGACACCGGGATAAGCGGGCACAGGAAACCCTCCAGCAGCAAAAGTACAAGGCAGCTATCGTCCCGGTTTCAACTCTATCGAAAATAATTTGTGCAAGTCATTGTTCCCAATCTGGAAGTTTAAGACGAGCAAACACACTGCTCTCATGCTGACTGTTTCTCAGGCATGTCCAACTTTCTACCTGCATTGGTAGTCTCCTGGATGCATTTTTACATCTTATAACGGAATCGAGTACATTCACTTATTCTCGCACACAAAACATCACATAAAGATTAGTCGAAACACTGTCCCGAGCGTCAAACTTCCTAAATTGAAAGTCCATAGCCAACTGCGATTATTTCAAACCTATCAGAACCAAGGGCATTTATAAAGCACAGATGTTACTTATCGGATCGATTGTCAATGATGTACGCCAAATTGCTCATCAAACCGAGAGTGAAGAAAAACGAAGAATGTTCCTCAGTTTGGGATGACTAATCCCCTTTTCTATGGTTGCTGCCCCTGTTCAACCTACTGTGCAGGTGAATGGCTTTCGAAAAAACGCATCAGTTTTTTTACTACGTGCCGACTTCCGTACACAATCGTTAACTATGAAGATTGACGACTGCCAGCTTTTTCGGATCCCACGAGGTCGACGAAATAATGTTTCCAGGGCATGTCTGTACACGTTACGCTTAACCAAGCAGAACTTTACGCAGACGAGCGTGAATCAACTCCACTTTTTGCCGACTAAGTGGGGGTGTTTCGAGAAAACACTGATTCCGCATGTTTTGTGTGGATTGAACGCAGGTGAAAAGTCACATGCGTCGTTTCGAAACAGATGGTAGAAAAAGGAAGCATTCGTTTGGTATTCGTGCTTTTTTATCTCCGATATCTGAGATATGTGACAGATGGGGCCACAATCGGATACAGCTGTGCAATACGGTTACTTAAAGCGAACTAATGTTGAACAAAGAGACCATCTATTCGTTGAGCCTCTGAAGATTCGGAATTGATTTTGGAGAATCATGACAGATTGAAACAATACCAAGCATAATCATGTTGATTACAACTATGAGAAATATTGTTGGACAAATCAGTTACAATGAACACTGTATTTGTGTGTAGACTGGCCATACAGTCCAATCACGTGACCGTCAGGCACCCTGGTGCCATTGGTCCATTTGAAACCACACGATCAATTTCAAAGAGTTCACTCTCCCAGTTAAAGAAAACCGCGGCTACCAACGAAAAAGAATGGCATCGGTTTCCCGAGCGGATAGATTAACCATAGTTTGTCTCACACACTAATCGATAGCACACATTCAGCATGTTGCGATAGTCAAGGTCATTTGGGAGGGTCCGGCTTTGCGCAGTGATGATTGTTCGTCAACTGTCCTAACCGACATGTCGTAAGTTGTAAAATTCAGGAGGAAAATAGGGGCAACGCACTGATCTGGGTCGCATCCTCGCGGATACCCGATTACTCAAGCAACACAGTCAGAAGCACTTTCATCCTGACTATCCATCCAGACCCGGCGGTTGCTTTTGCTCAAACAATCCGGATATTTTTCACTTTATAGCGAAAAAAATATGGGGTGACCGCGTGCGCAAACAAGGCCTCATAGCCGAAAAATATGGCATCGGTAAAAAGAGACATACACGTTTCAAAAGTGACATCGTTTATGACATGAGAAAGAACATGAACAAAAGTGATGAAGTCGGTACCGGAAGCAACAGGAAACCAAGGGACAGCTGTAAGCCATTAGATTTGGCAGTTTAAACCTTTTGGTTCACCGGATATTGCACGTGATGAACACAATTCAACACAGTATCGGCCGAGAGACAACCAACTGACGCAGAAAGCCACAAAAAACCAATACATACGTCCCCCAACCCCGAATTTCCAAATTTTCCCTCCCGACTGCGGTCTATATAGGTTAGCTGACAAAAAGCCCGGCTTTATCAATTTATCTTAAATAAACTGTTAACCAGTTCAGCGGAGTCACAAATGCACTCACCTTTTTTCACTTCAGTAGTTAGCTCTTCATGGATAATGATAGTTGTGTTGGAGTTTCGATAAACGCTGCTAAATTCCCTGAATCTAGGATGTCGTTTAATCCAATGATGTGTTCCTAATGTCGACTCATCCTAACTTCTTCGATTGAGTTGTTTCTAGTCGCACCAACTCCTAATTTCTATTGGTCAAATACATGGTGCATGTTTCTAGCGATGATGAGTGCCTGGGTCTTATTGACTGGAAATCAGTCGGTGAAAAGGCCAGACATTTTTTCTCTGGTTTTGGGGGCGGTCACTATGAGGAGCTTCTCAGTAGGGGCAACTTCTAGCCGTGGTAGTGATTGGGCCTGATCCAAAGTGTACAGACAATCGGGTGCTGTAAGTGCGGCCCTAAGTGCAGGCGTGGAGGCTAACCGATGACCTGTACATGTTCGTTCGACACTGTTCTGCTTCCCATTTAGGTACAGACAATCGGGTGCTGTAAGTGCGGCTCCAAGTGCAGGCGTGGAGGCTAACCGATGGCCTGTACATGTTCGTTCGTCGCTGTTCTGCTTCCAATTTAAGACCAACCGGGTGGATCAAGTAAATCGGACTGAAGCTGATCACTCACCAGCCTCGCAAGCAGCTGAAGTTCTCCAGCAGTCTCCGAAAGTGCTTCAATGCTGGAACTCAATGGTGCCACTGTTTACGCATGACAGACAAACATCAGGCTGCTTGTTTAGCTAGCTGAGCAAGAAGACTCAGTAATTTTCTGACAGAAGCTGGCATATGTTTTGACAAGCAAGTACAACCTATCCCTCCTAATACAGATAGTATTGAGACCAGGCACTGCTGCCCTAGTTCTTGGAAGGCTGCTTCTTTCGGGACGCTATGTTGAGAAAGCGGGGCGCTATATCAGACGATTACACTTCGTATTGGCAGTATTAACTGCAGTTATATTGTCCTCACTAAGAGAAAGTTTATTGCTTTGGTTTTGCCATCACTGCAGCACAGACACGTGTATGCCGCCGAGTTCGTCAAGCCAACTTTTCTCGTACCGCGTTGTTCGTCTCTGTGTTTAGACATACAGATGACGACCGCACATACAAGCAGCATTCATGGTTGCTGTCGAGACCTTGCACAACTTCTGTCAAGAACAGAGCTAGTTCCACTCCAATGTCTATCTTATCCCTGTGTGCATCAACATCCTCTGGAATAAAGTGATCTCACAGAAGGGAATGGCTAAACTTAAACAACAAAAGCTTCGACTCTGGCACAGGTTGCAATCACGTGTAACTGAATAAGAATTATGGCTGTGCAGAAAGAGTAACTGAGATCACGCAGATCAGCACGGCAGCCGAGTCTACGAGTACGTCGAGTAAGCCATCCGCAACATTCGAAAACGTTTCAATCAGTAAATGCGCAAAAACGAGTGAAAAATCATGTGTGTCGCTTGTGGGCGATGTATTCCTAGAAGAACTCACAGTCTAGGAAAGCTGGGAGATGGCATCAACGAGTTTGTTAGGTTTCCTGTGAAACCAGCTCGGAACACATTGATCTTCTTGACCGGATCCGTTTCAACTTGTATTGGAACTCCGTCGATTGACCAAGAGATTATAGCTCCAGGCTTTCCATGGCGGGCGACACATTTGAGTACGAGGATCGCGCCATCGTCCACAATAGCTGGAGTTGCTGAACCAATCTCGACCTCTGGACCTTTCCCTTCTTTTGTGATCTGATACAACTTGGGTGCCTCCGAAGGAACTGAAAAAACACAATGGTTTAGGCAGTCGAAATCACCACAAATCCATAAGTAACCTGAAGGAACAAATTTTCAAAGGTGATTGACACTTCTATCTAAGATGCCCTCATTGGAGAATTCAATCACGTGATGCGGTTTACGTGATTGGAAGGTGAGTGGCGCTCTATCCTGTTAAAGTACTGATCAGAGGACAGAAAAGTTAAGGGTTTAAGCAAGCGGCCAGGAGGTTTCGGGTTCTAACCCCATGGATTTTCCTGACTTGCGCTCTGCTGATATCTCCCAATAAGGACAAAACTGCTTTACAGTGCTTGCCAGATCTTCAGCAAAGATTGGCTTCAGTTACAGGACAAAATCTACATTGAAGACAAAAACTTCCCTAAAATGCATACTAAACTTTATGTTTTAGTATATCATATGCATAACGATTGTTTGTTTTGTTTCTGTGGAACTATCGTCGATCGATTAGAAATCACAGTGTGTTGACTAGCTGTCGCTTCAGAATAGGGGAAATCAAGCAATCATTTCAATTTGTCCGCGATAAATCGTGAACCCTAGGCACACACTGGTTCCAGCTGCTGCAAATTGGGATATACAGCCAAGCCTTGGATGCGATGGCATTAAAGACGATAACTTCGATTCCTGAGCACCAGTGACTGTGTAGTTGGGCTAGTTCCGTCAGTGTCACCAACCATCGGTGAGTTGAGTCCCGGGGTATCCATCCGGGGAGGAGGCAGTTGTCGATCCAACTAAGTTGCCAGGTCACACATTGTCCATCTCCCGGTCGCTTCCACTCAGCATAGGGCTGGGCGAAAAGAGCTCTGTGATGTAGTAAGTCTTCTGGCACGCCCCACAAGCGCAACCTAAGCAGTGTGAGTAATCCATCCATCGCGGGAGAGTTCCTTCTGCCTAAGAACACCCCGCGTACTTCAGCATTACTAACTCGATGTTCCTCAGACATGACCAACGCCCCGAATACGCCAATGGTCAAACACTGATATCTCTCGCATGTGCACTGCATTTAGATGGCAGGTTTATGGTCCATAAAGCGGTATGGATCACGCCGCCGCAGTATTAACTCTGCCCTTGAGAGACATAGTGACGTCCTGTCGGCAACATAGGTATCACAGGTTGGTGAAAGCTGACCTGGATTTCCGGATTCGAGAAACGATCTCATCTACAGCCAGTCCACCAGTCAGAATAGGGCAAGAACCAGGACTGCTATCAGGAAGGTCAGATTCCTGAAAGTAACCTCAAAACGCCCGGAACCTGATGCTCCACCGAAATCTCAACAGGAAAGCCGGCAGGCATCCAGGTTAGTCAATCATTCAATCAATTCAGCAAAAGCTGATGAGTGTTCTTGCACGCCACAGAAGCGCGGCCGAAGGTGATCAGCGTTCAGGCATTTCATAGAGGCACGGTCGATGTTGATGGGTGTTCACTAACGCCTATCAGACAGCCTGGATTAATGTCAGAAAGTCCCCTTTCTAAAATAGCGTGGGGCCGTTGTAACTTTTGCTCTCGCACTCGCGCGCACTCATGCTCTTGCATTTGCTTGTTAGGAATATAGCTGTTGTGTTCCCTTCCGTGAGTCTCTTTTCAGGCACTGGGCACTGGAGCAGGTCAGCAGCAGATACCACAGATTGGCGAATCAACAGCGGTATAAATGAGATTTCTAAAACCGGTTAGTATTTTCAAACTCGTGTTCTGTTGAAGCAATCCTTGATGGGACTTTTCAGATGCATATTTCTCCTACCCTTGGCTTGAACAGGTGCCCCAATTGCTTCGGTTATTAGAATATAAGTAGTAGCGGACAAAGGACGAATAGTGTTACTGATATGGCACTCTGCATTTCAAACAAATCGGCTTCAAAAAGGAATTTTGTATAAAAAAAAGTATTTACCAGAATCTACTGTTATCTACCATACCTGATCTGCTCAAAGGCAGAATGCGATACACAGACGTAAGTTTTGTAGTTGGGCATACACTCAAACGAAAACTAACTAACTTAGATGTATGACGGATTGAAGAAAAATCAAGCCATTTTCATGTTTATTTGGGAGAGAGAGAGTGAGAGAACCAATCGGAAGTACAGAAACAATCGACACAAAACTGAATTCAAAATAAGACATTCACGAAGACAGTCAACCAATCCGATTTTGAACAAAATTCCCTTCTTGGTTTTTGCCGGAAAAATTTTTCGATACATTTACCAGCGCATTTTCATGAAACGTATTTCTTAAAAACCACACGGTAATTATCTCACCGAGTATCAGCCAACCGCAAAGTTTTATGCGGGCTGCGCGAACAAAAAACGAACTATAAATAGTTACTCTAAGTAAAAGAACTGGAGGATATATGTGATTCAATTTTATGACTGTTTTTTGTTAATTCCCACAGTTCGACATTTGATGATTGAAAGCATTAGTCGAATTTGGAAAAGAAACATTTCGGCAGAGAAATGCCGCCTCTTCTACGTTTTGGCAAAACGTGAATTTGGTTTTTCTCTGCCAAAATTCGTTTTCAGATGGTCGTAGGCTTTGTGGTGAAGGAATAAGAGAAGGAAAGGGTGGTATGAGCACAAATGCTAGGCGTTATTGATCCATCCGTTAAATATTGATTTACATATTGATTGATCAGTTATATATTGATCCATCATACTCAGTGGAAATATTTCTGTTGAAAGTATGTTCAGCTGCGGTGAACTATTAGCAGACTACGAGGTAGTCCTCCTACTCTGAGAGAACTTCTCATGGTCTTTTACATCCACTTCAGAACCAAGCTAGAAAAATCATCTGTACAAAAAATCTATTAGCTTTAAACTTTGGTATCATTAGTCGATCTTATTTATACTGCCGATGGTAGGGAAGGTGCCTTAAGGTCTTGTGAAAAAACACTACTTATAAGGTTGTTGATAACACTTCGACAGCCCACAGTCGGCTTTTCTTTTCTTGAGGCTCATTCGGAAGGCGCAGTCCTCGAGTTTATGTCAACCTTATGCAGTATTTGAACCAGAATTGTACGGACGTTGTGAAATACACGGACGTGTGCACCACTTTGGTTTCAAAGAGGGACTCAACTGAATCCCAGCTGAATAACTCGCTGATGATATTCTCGACCTATGATTCGGTCGAGGATGCAAATGAATGTAGGTTAGATGCTCCGAGATTCCTTTTATCTCCCATTCATTCGAATGTGAATATTTGCTTTGTAGTCTTTCTCGGGGTTGATATCAGTGCATCACTTTTTCAGGCCTTACACAGATGCTCCACGGTTCCAGTAGGACATTCATTTTGGCGGTATCCAAGGGACTTTTTGACGCCATCATTTTCACATTTTACGCCTACTGCCTAGAACACATCAACCGGTGTGACGGTGTGTACTACTGTTGAAACGCGTGAGTAGTATATGGTCAAATAATTTGAAGTGTCCTCTCTGTATGAGGTGGAAGGTTCTATTTGAAACAGGTGAACTATTTTAACATTGATTATCATTGTTTAACATTCGAACAGCGTCCCAAAAGTTTAGGAGGAAGCTTGACTATTTCAAAACTCTGTGCTAATGAGATGTTTGCTTTTGTGTCTGACAGATTCTAACTGCCCAGTCTGTTTGCTAATGAACAACTCCACATTCTAGGGCACCATTCCTTCCACAGACGAATTGTGAAGACATGTTGATGATTTTGTTATTGACAAATCATGACTACATCTAAGAATGCTCAAAGAAAGTGGACCCATAGTAGCATACTACTCGTAAGGTTGCTGAAGACCATCATAAAACGGAGATTCACCTAGATTCAGTTGAGTGTATGTGAAGGTCGTCACCGACAGATTGAGAAGTCTGTAGCTGTTATAGTCAATACTTAGCACTTGTAACCACATTTGAATTAGGTGTTTAAAATGCATTGCTGGTGTGATCTCTTTGATTAGACCCGGCATGCGTAGACGGGCAAAATGTTCCCGAAAAATCCTTGAGCTTCGACCCGAAATTAAGATTGACCATCGATATACCGGTTTCTTTAAGCTGTTCATTTGCCGTGCAGGGAGGAACGCACCATCATAGAACGAGCACTCAGCCCCCATGGGTTTCTCGCAAAAATCGATTTACTTTCCTGATTGGTGGGTTGAGCATAGGATCGATAAAGGTCTATAATAACCTCCTTGAGATAATTTTGGAGATAATTTTGAAATAATTCCGCTTTTCTTTCGCAGCATAGGCGAGCTTTCGAACGTCATGGCATTTTGTATGGATTATGGATGATAAAAGTGAACCTTATGAGTAGTTCATTAGGTAAATACATTTATCACGATTTCTCGAAAATCGTACCAACTGACACAAGAGGCGGCCTGGTGCAGCACATTCAGTTGCCTGGAAACATCACAAACGAGAGATCCAGCTGGGTTCCAGGTGAGTCTCTCGCAAAACCAAATTTGTTTGCAAATGAGTGTATTTCGCTAAATTCGGGCAATTTTGTTTCAAGTAGAACATAAGGTTGACGGTAAACTCGGAGACTGGGCCTACCTGATGAGCGCCAAGAAAGGCGAAACCGATCGTGGGCTGTCGACGAATTTTCGGCAAACTTAAGAGTAGTGCATTGAGTATATAAAAATGAACTTTTTTACCTGAAGTGTGAATGTCTTTAAACTACTGTAAGTTCCACATTTCACTCCGTACATGATACTGTTGTAAAGCCAAACTTCTATCGAGACATAAGACTATTCCTTATTGACATGCTCTTCTGACTTAGTAATTCAATCCCATATGTTCGGGTCAAGAGATTTCAGCATAGCTTTTAGGACGTGAAGCAAAACAGAGAGATTACCGGGCCCATCGACGTGCCTATAGGGTATATCTGTACTTTAATCCAGCCTATTATGCATCGCCTATCGAGGTTACACAATTAACTGTACCGTCATACTCACATGTAGGCGGGTTCTCTAATACAAATCACGACAACGAATGCCATTCGAAGTACAGACGCTGCAGCACCAAGAGTGCAGTCACACGCAATCAAATTACAGAGACGCCACAGAAACCGCTCGGGAAAGCGACGCTGATGCGATTGGACGAATAAGGATACAATGCGAAATTCGTTTGTCTTTTCCATATCTCAAATTGTACTTTTTGCTGGCATGCATGCATGGAGTAGAATCAATAACTCTGGTGCAACGTTGGGAGGACTTAGAGCGTGAAAAACAAAAAATGCACTAAAGTAACTATCAGGAAGGTCAGCTTCCTGAAAGCAACCACTGAATGCCCGAAATCTACCGAGACTCTCAGCTCCGCTAGATGTTGACCAGACAGACAGCGGCCCCTCAATATGCAGCGCATCACAGCCTTGTATCAAACCCAGACAGCGCGGGTCAGCGTTGATCAAGGTCAGACAATGCCACCGCGATATGCAGCACGTCGCAGCCAGACCGTGTGCGTCAGCTATTGAGTTCCCTTCCGTGAGCCCTTTTGTCTCCGACACTAGGCACTGGAGCGGGTCAGCAGCAGATACCTCAGATTGGCGAATCAGAAGATATAACAGTAACCTTTTGGTAAACGTGCTCCAGTCCGTTGTGGAAACATGCAATTACATTCGCACTGACTGACATGGAGTTTAAGACTCAGCTGAGGAACAGTTAGCCGGTCACGAAAAAAACGCTAGTGTCCACAAATACAAAGGCTCTGAATTTCCACTGAGACATTCACGTAGTTACTGCGTCGGTGGGTGTCTTATGAGGTAAATTCTCAAAGTATCGAATTAAAACTGTTAGCTCCATGCAAGTAAGTTAGTCACTTCGTTAAGCATAGCACCCACACACATAGCCCGAGTTCGGTTTCGAAATCTGACTGAGTACAAGGAACCATTCTGAAAACGGAAACGAAAAAGGACGAAAATGCGCACAGTTCATTCGAACTTGTGTGTCTAGTTCACGTCAGTTCAGAATGATTGGTGGCGGGCAGTCAAGTCCCGTCTATGGACGAAATTACAACTCGCCGCTGTCAGACCCAAGTGATGATTAGTAATCACGAGGCAGTATCATCTGTTCCCTGACCACATTTTCCCGGTCAGTTGAAGATCGGCATCCTAGGAACCATAGGTTTATTTCACTAACTCGTTTATGGTTCTAGTGAGCAAGTCCAGAAAAAACGCGCTTCTTTGAAAGTATAACCTATCTCTTACCAGAAAAAACATGTCGGGCATCCGACCATCCATTCAAAACCGCATATATCAATTTTGAACTAGGGCAGTCCTAAGCCCGGATCAGAGATCTGCCGACCGCCGACGTCAAATTATTGTCAGCTGGACCCAAACTAGCGTTCAAAATGCTCTGAATCATCACCTAAAAGTACATTTTTTGGAAGTTTACGGTAGGAACAAAGAGAATATTTCCAATCTCACATACTGCATTCCGAATGGTGAACTACAAACACACTGAACGCGCTTAGTGAATCATCATTGATGGGTTGACTATGCTCCCAACCAATGATGAAACAAAATCTTCTCTTTTCCTCAATAAGTTAAGAAAACGTTAATCTTTTCCAATTCATCCACATTATCTTTGCAACACTGGGTCTCTTTTGTAGCACTTACCGTGGACAGTCAGCAGCGCTGTCTGACTGAGATACTGATGTTTCATAAAGTTCACCTGACAAACATAGGATCCCTCGTCTGACAATTCAACGTTGGTGATTTGTAAGTCATACTGACCTGACAGGAAAAACAAGAGGAAAACAATTACGGGTTTTTTTTCGCGTAGGAAAAACTATACAGAATGCACGGAAGAAAAATAGACAAGTAGGATTGGAAAACTTGGAGCAAAGCGATAGGTCTTCATTTTAAACGTCTGAGAACGCACAAACAAACAGCCTGGAAGTACTTTGGCAGATTAAGAAAAAAATCGACCAGCTTTAACACCCTTTCGGTGTCAAGCTGCCATGCCACACGAAGGAGGCACGAGGGTTGGGATACTGTCGGGTTGCCTAAGCCTAGACAGAGAAAGTCGAGTGGCAGAGGGCGGGTTCGATCCACGGACCTTACGGTCGGTAAATTCGCGCTCTAAATACTTGGTCCATCTCGCCCCCACATCATCATAGATAGACGACCAATGACGGCACAGTGATTTATTCAGACTCGACCTGTGGGGGAATCGTCGGGGATACTTGCAGCCCATAACGGCTGGGTTCACGACCGAGGCCGGTGTGAAGTTCCTCACCTGCAAAACTGGGAATATCACTCTGAACTTCCGCACCAGTCATCAGTTCTTGATGTTTGATTTCATCAGCAAGCAGGCTACATAGATGGCCTTTTCCCTTTCGCCCCCTTTAACATAACATCATTTCAAATTGGAATTCGTATGCCTGGATGGATCATACATCCGCCCACGTCTGTAAGCAAGCGCAGGTGGTTTGATCTTCTGCTGATACGAAATACCTAAGTAAAACGGTACCGGTCCGAATATAAGCGGCAATTATGAAGCAAGCGCCTGTTCGGTTATCGGGTCGGATTCAAACCTCAAATGTCGGTTGTCTGAAATGCTGTTCATTGACCAGGTAATTCACGCTTGGACAGACTGGATATGCGATGAAGCTACACATGAAATATGTTAAAAATCCAAGTGTGCCGATTCGGAATTGGATTGTTTATGACCGGGTGAACTACCAAAGTCCTCTTCGTCGAAATATTGGTAGCTCGGGTAAGTTTATGGGTTGTTGATCAGGTGGTCCACTAACCCTGTTGTCATGTTCAGAAAGTAGAACAACCAATGTGCCCAAATATCATCATTATCAACCTATGTGACCCAGTTATCAAACCCAAGAAGGGATACCCAGAAGTGCATGAATACAACCCGGTCGCCATAGTCATATACTTCGAAACGTGTGAAATGAAGTTGAACCAGCAGGGTTTCCTTTCTATAGACCGGCTGTCAGAGTACTGTTTGGAACTGTAAATGGCACTGGTGACTGGAAAGGACTTCACGATCGGGCACATGTTTGTGCACGTCCTACAGAGTTTGGGTCTTCTCAACAAAGCGAGTACTTTTGGTAATAAGGGTGTTGTTCATGGAGGGATATTTTGACTGAATAACTTTCAAGAAGGGCAACTGAGAGGAAGGAAATATTCTTGTTCCAAGCCAGACATATCGGTTGATTCTTGGCATAACGTTGTCTATGCTCTTCGCTGAATAGTGGCCAAAAGTTTCCACGTAGAAGGTAGCGCCCGAAAAGGTTGTCCACCCCATCCACCAGTGATCATATTCACTATGGATAAAATAATGAAGCAAGCGCTGAAACGTCTTCAAAAACCCGATATTCATATCGCTGCTGGTTGGAAACTTGTGGATCTAGAGTGCGCAGAGGACACTGTCGTTGCCTTTGAAAACGAAGGCTTACTTGAATAAACTGGCAATCGTCATTCGCCTCGCACCTCCAAAGTGCAAGGTCATTCTCCGGAACATTCAGCCTCCGAAAATACCTCTTGCAATTCAAGGAGAATCACTGAAGTTTATAGGGAACTTCACCTACCTCGGTAGGTGTATGAGCGCTAACAGAAACGTGTCTGATGACGATTTCAAAGCTCCGAATCACGCTTACTAATTTGCGTCGCTTCTGACATCAGAATGGCATATCACTGGTTTCAAAGGTTGTGTGTACTGAGCCACAGAGAGAATTGTATTTTTGTATGGCCGCAAGACGTGGCATGTGAAAGACAGACAATGTTAGACTTCAAGTTTTTATCACCAATATCTCAGAAGCACCTCTGGTGTCCGATAGCCAATTCGTAACGGGGTAATTGGAAGATGGGTAGTTGGCAGTTCAACTTTTGTCGCGAGAAACATTCAACACCGTCAGTTGGGATGGCCCGTCTTTGTGCTACGCATACCGGCACATCATCTGACGGAACGGATGTTGTTCTCCTTCAGAATCGCCAAACTGCGAGGACTCGACAGAAGGGTAGTTAAGTGTTGTTGGTGCGTTCCCAGAGGTGGTGCCCGTCACCCACCCCTTGGTTTGGATTGATGGATTTTCACGAGCAGAGGTCAGTACATTTACGGATGATTTGACTGGGTACTTGGAGGTGTGAGCACCCCTGAATATTTGCCCTAGGCTGACACCAGGTCCTTGTTTCATCCACTTTTTTCCGTTTTTTTTCGGTTTAAGGCTTCAACCGTAGACAGACAAATCTCGTGATGGTATGGGAGTGAGGTGTCAGTGTCAACACCGATTTCGCCTTCCCAATATGATGATAAGCTAGCCAACTGTGACCCAACTAGACTGGCCCGTCTCTTGTGCTGGCGCGTTTAACCACCGTCAATTTTATTTGGGTAAATTGGTGACCTTTTCGTCAGCCCAACATGCAACTATGGCCAGAAATACACAACAAATAGGCCTTCAGTTTCGATCCACCGCCCAATGCGGATACCAATTGTCTTAAGAGATCTTTACCCGATTTAATATGGCATGAACGGAACTAATGATGATAAATAATTTGCCAATGAAATTTTTAGATCCCGATGAGATTTGTTGAGACGAAACGGTAATTATTTCGGCCACTGACCTTTCTGCCTAGACATTTAGGTGATGGGAAATGTCAAAATTTGCTGGAATAAATGACGGGCACAAAACAGAGGAATGTTACTGACTGCCGCGGAACGCCACCGCCTGGCAGTGTGTGTGTGTGTGTGTGTGTGTGACTTTTCCATCAACACATGAATGCACAACCACGAGCGGAAGTGACATTCTGTGCTGATCTACCATTGGCTTTGCAAAAGTCACAGAACACACCCATTTCAAAGGTAAGATCGTACTGCAATTAGCATAACCAAAAACCACATTGCCATCCTGGTCAATATAAAGTTTTTGGACTGACAACTACTCATCCATACTACTTACTAAACACACGTGATTGGAACCTAAAAAGATTCATTTACACGAGTCACTTCTTCTCTATCAGTGCACGTGAAGTGGTCTGGAAGTCCCGGTCCCTTCGCCACGTGACGAAGAGGCAAACGCAGTTCGTTAGCCTACCGGCAGCAGAACCGACTCTTCCTAACCCCACCGAGACAGGTCCAAAGTGCCTCGTGCAAGTGGAATCTTTCTTCTCAGAATAAAGTTATTTATCATTGGCAACAATTATTGGAGAATAAAAGAGGTTTCCCCAAACTGCAGGCCGAGAATCTTTCGCTCAGGAAGAATCTACATGAATTTTGGAATGAATTCCACGCAAGAGAGAAAAGGCCTTTTACAAGAGGCTGCGCGCCAGCAAGACGCCAAATATCAACCAATGGTAATTTTTCATCTCGAATGGCATCAGCGAGAACAGGTTTAGTTGTTTTATCCAAATCAGTTGAGTAGATTTCTTGGTACAAAACATGGTGCTCGACTTCAGTAAATTTAAAACCAATGTTCAGCATTCGGAACCTCTTGTGTTTATTGCTACATCAGTCATTTTCTCTCGAGTTACTGGAAGAGATTTGGTTCCCGTTCTTTCTTTTTATGAGTATCTTACTGCTACCCAATTTAATCAGTATCACAGCCTGGTATCCCTTCAGAAATGTGAGGGATTAAACTGATGAAATCTAATGACTCCTCATGTAGTGACGCTTCTCAATACAGCTGAAGTTTCCGCCAGTTGAATATCGTTCGTGTTAGACAAGTGGTCAGTGCAGATGAGTCGGCTTCGATGCTTCAAGCAAGGCTGCTGTGAAACCGCTGGAGATGCAGTTACAGAGGGGAAATAAAAAAATCGTTCAGCTGCAGCACTTTTTCGGTGCCATGCCACCAGAAGGAAGCACGAGGGCTGGGATACGGCCAGGTTGCCCAAACCTAGACAGGGGAAGTCGAGTGGCAGAGGTCGGGTTCGAACCACGGGCCCTCCGGTCAGTGCATTCGTGCCCACTTGGGCCATCTCGCCCCCCTGGGACACCAAATAAACCCTGATTACCATTCAGCTCAACTGAGTTTTGTGTAAAAGGCAACGGGCTCATTAAAACTATTGCTGAAACTCGGCGTTGTGTCATCTCGCCAACCTTTCGTTGGCTCACTTTCTCTAACCTGATAAAATGGTGCAACTTTGTTTAGCTGACTTTCAAGTGTTCCTTTTCTTCTCTTATGTTACTGAGTTTATCATCAGGCTGCTTCCGCTTCACAAGTGCGGTCACGTGGTCTTTGACAGGTATTCAGTTCCAGTGTGAACAACACTCAGGTAGGCTTATCGCGACAGGAAACCATTCAAAGCATCTAAAGCGCCTGTGTACATACAAGGAACCACCAATGCGCATTCCGGTTGACTAAAGCGACCTTTTAGACGCATATACACACCGAAGATGACGATATATGTGCTAAAAGAGTGGAAACCTGGTATTTTAGATTACCAGGGATGAATTTGCTTCACGAGACACCCTTTGGTCGCACCGGCGTTGTGTCGGTTCCCGGACTTTGGTCACCCATGCCCTCAAATACACGGTATACCAGATGTGCCCAACGGAGAGGGAGGCTTTCACCCTCAGTACCTTTAATAAGATTGCCGCCAAACGTTGCGCACGTGCTCCATTGTCGAACCATTTTCCGTGAGTAAAACCTACTACTGAAATAGTTTTTTCTTCTATTCCAGGACACGTTGTCGACGAGACAACAACAACAATGACCACTGCTACTGATATGTGCAAAAGACGGTTTGTATTCCATTCCATTCATTTCCACCAAACACCGCCTAGTTGGTTTGGGCAGACAGTATTAAAAATTTATGAGGCTTCTCACCACGGAGTTGATCCTGCAATCTCAAGACTGAGCAAACAGCACTTGAGAGCAAAACGTCACTCAAACCAGAGAAAACCACGAGTCTCTGTCACTTGAGGTGACAGAATATCAGTCCAGGACTTAACCTAGGCAACCAAACAAATCAACAAATGCAAATTTTCACTTTGGCTGCAAACTTGGAAGAGTTTCATCTGTCTGCAGACAGACCAAAGTGTCTCTGCTTGTCACACCTTTAGACAGGTGCATATTGTTGAAGAAATGGAGGAAATATGTGGTTTTGAGTAGAAAGTTAACAACATGAAGGTAGCATGCTTGCAATTGTGAGATCGGTTTTGTAATCGCCTATACGAACCCGCCACATGGCGTCTTTGTAGCAATTTATTAAAAAGACCGTTGTGGAGAAAGGTCTTGGGCGAGACATGAAGGAAACGGTATTTTTTTCTTCAAAAACAGAAGAAAACGACAGAGGAGAGTCCACGTGAAAAACCTCACGTATCAACTAATGTACTGACGAGAAGGTAATCAGCATTTTAAGGGCCGATGTTTGCAAGAGCTTGGGATGGAGATAGGGAAAGTTCTACGGAGGAAGCAAAATAGGTAGCCATTGGTGAACAGCCAGCCTCAAAGAAGGAAGACACAGGCTAGCTACCAGTGTAACGGTGATACTATTGATGGGGAAGCACGCGAGTAGTGTGTTGTTCGTAGAATTTCGCTTTGCGTCTATTGAAAAAGGGAGATCTGTTGCGGAATTCGTGGAACCACTTTGTAACATTTGCTTGGATTTGACCGACGAATGAGTGGAGTCAATGAATCTCCAAGAAAGTTCAAGAAGACTCGTTCGGGAGAAGATGGGTGTCCAGTTTTTGTAACTAAGATGCA